TTAAGTCAGTCAGTTTAAGTCAGTTTATTAAGGGAATGAGGCTTTCGCCCTTGAGCTCCCTATTCAAATCGATAAACAGAAATAAAGTCATCAAGTACATCAGCGAATGCGAAAAGTTAAGAAGTTAGCGGTAAGTGTGAGCTAGGCGCAAACTGCCGCCGCTAAAACAATCATTATTATATGTACAGTAGGTTCTCAACAATAATGATTGCTTCCTCAAATTTTGGGTTCTGAATCCACTGATCGACTCTGCCGTAGCGATGGCGTTTGTGGTCTCTGAACACTATGGGCGGTCTCACCAGCTGTTCCTCAACGCCCCTACTTTGACTATCCCCAACTTCATGAAAGGACTTGACGTCCGATAATCTCCGATACCGTGCAACCCCCTCCCTTCCTTCTTGACGGTCGAAAATCTACCGCCAGCAGTTTTTTTCTCTCCTGAACCATCCAAACCATTAAAACCACCATCAACTATATTTTTATTCTTCAGTTTTTTTTCACTGCTGGTCGGATTTGTGTTTAAACGCTTCCCTTGACAATGCCTGTAAACTGGCATTTAATAAATTAAATTAAACATGATGATAGCTAGTGCCACGAACGGGTGGGCAGTCAGTAAAGCATTCGCGGGAACAAATATGGTGAAAAAAGTTGTGTTCTCGCTCTCATCATGCTCAACCCCATTTTCTCAGGCATGCTGGTGGACGTCTATGGGGAGCAGCGGCCGAGGGTTGACATTGTTTGCCGAACCCATGGAAAACAGCCGAACATCCGTCCCCATAAATCATCTTCGAGAGTATCCAGGGCTGAACCCACGCTCGATTGCTCGCTGATGATTGTGCGCCAAACGCAGTAATGGACGATGAACTGCAGAGGATGTTGTCTTCCTTGATTTTTGCTGCCCCAACTTCCGTCTAACAATCAAAACGGGAAAAACAGTGGTCATACACCAACCAACATCAAACACTGATTACACGGGACTCCGTGTCAGTGTCGGCGGAACTTACCCAACAACAATAGACAAGCTCGCGTGCCTTGGAAGTACGATCTCAAGAAACATCCTGACCGAAGACAAAATCTCAAGTATAATCTGCAGAGCCAGTCTAGCATTTCGCCAGCTGAATGACTCCGCCTGAAGCACTCGCGGGAAACGCGAACTAAGTACAAAGGCGAGCAGGGAGACTCAACTAATTCGCCTCACATGTGTCCGAGGAATGATGAAAGTAAAAAGATAGAAAAGGATTAAAGACACTGAGATTCTGGAAAGAACCGACGTCCTCTGTATTCACAACAGGCTGAAGCAGATATATATGGGACGGAGGAGGCACGTCGTGAGACCATTCTAAGGCAACGTAGCTGCAGAAGGTGGGTAAACGCGTCGCTACGAGAGCATCTAAAAGACCCCATTCAAACATCTCAAAATCAAACCTGATACCTGGGAGTTCCCATCACAGCAGCCTAAGCCGAGACTGAAAGACCTTGGCTGCCATGGTCTTTGTGCTCGGTCCCGAATGGAAAGAGAGGGCGGACGCCAGTGGGGAGGATAATATATTCTATACAGAATAACTGGGTTTGGAGAGAATTGGCAGCCGGACGAGGGCACGTCCGACGCCGGGTGAGCGGCGTCCTAAGTGTGTGAGGGAACGCGTCAAAGCGTCTTAAGCCAGGACGCGTCTGACTCGACCTTGAACTTGATTAGCCGTCTTGAGAGCCGAGTGTTCGAATGCCAGACAGCCCTGGTGCGCACGTGCGGACACTCGTGAGAGGCCCAGCGTTGCGGCAGGCGCTCGGACTAGGGCCACTATATTCCGCTCTCAAAACGGTCGTAAAGACTGATGCAACCGACTTGGAAACCACTAAAATAACCGCAGCCACGACAAAGAAAACCACAAAACTTAAGTACCGCAAACCAAAGTCGCCAACACCCAACCCTATTATTGTGCCCACACTATCAGCGGCCGTCCCGGGCATGCCTCGGCCTAACTGGACATCTGCGGATCCGGCGATGTGGTAACACGAGCAACTTGTTCTTCATCCGTCAACACGCTACCAGTGTCCCCCATACTAGAAGCGCCAACGGGGACACCCATTCCGATTTACAAAACGCTACCGCCAACGCCCCTTCCACCAACAATGCGGACATACGTCCAACCTTTCACGAATGAAACCACACATTTTCATTACGCACAGGCCTAGTCGGTCACTTGAGTATCCATCTTGCAGAGCGATGGGTTAGTAACCACAGACCGCACATACGCCCACCACACACGCTTCATCTTTTTAAAAATCCCCTGGACATTTGCACATTCACAGATAAAGTAGGCTACGTGAGTATCCATGACAACACAATTCATTGCAAAGTTATTGCAAGAAACCTACCTCCAACATCTGGAAATTCCACTGCCAGCAACATTCCCATCAGCTTCACAAAAACTAACAGTATCGTCGCTCTATCAGCTCACTAACCATAGTCTCGATTCGTCTTTACTGTCACCGCAAATTTGTATTACATATCGATCTTGTATTACACTCGCGAATCCGTAGTACTGAGACCGCCGTGCCAGTATCAAGAGCCGCGGTTTACACCCGTCACTCTCGCCTTACCTATCTACATTGCGCAGGAAAACTCCGACATTGTATTGGCCAACTCAATCATATAAGAATTTAAGTAAACCTGCGACAAAACAGCACAGAATTTACCCCACCCCTACAACTTGCTCGACCAGCCCATACACCACATTCGAATGTGGAACAACAACTTGAATGTTGCCTGTGGTAGTTGGACACTTAAGCAGAATTCCCTCAAATCTGTCAGGAAGCAATTGCCACTGAACGGGTTCGAGCTTTCATCTGCAACCTGGTCGTCGTCTACATCGTCTTATAGCATACCATATAACACCTACAAATGCTCACTTCAGGGCTAAGGTGCGGCATCGATGGTTCGGGTGACGGCTCCGTTACGAGGGATGATGTAGACGGGAGCGAGGGGTCATCGGTGGCGGCATAGTACGCCATCTTCGCCCACTAAGTCGTGTTGTGCATTGTACTGCGATGAAGTCCCCAGTATTTCCTTTCCGTATTTGCTTACAATTAACATATAAACAACATTAACACATATTACACCGCCATATACTACACTCAAGCAGTCAGATTACGTGCCATTCTTATAAATGACTTAAATTACGATTCTAGAGACTGAAATAAAGCATTTACTTATTACAATGACATATTGCATCGCATAGAAGAAATAAATAAGTAAATGGATAACGTACTGCAGTCAAAACGAGCCAAGTAAGAAGCAGGAGTCGGTCAGCTGTATGGATCACGCGTGCACACAGTCAGCGTAAAAGTGCCGTCCACGTGGGTATGTACATGACCGACTTAAACAAGGCCAATATTTGCCTTCGTGAAACATGAATTTTTCTCGATGTCATACGACTGAAAACGCATTGTACAAGTTAAAAAGCTTATATTTCACGATAATAAAGCTAAAACAGTCTAAAATAATGCAGAATGACGTGATTAGAAAGGATGGAAATTTGGACGGGGCCTGGCCCCGTCTAGCCCCGTCTGGCCCCCGGGGCCATGTGTTGGCAGGGTCTTAACCCACATCACAACACTCGACAAATGGATAGAAAATGAATCGCTCACATTCCTGGGAAGCCTGGTTATTAAAACAGCCTATCCCCCGACTAGGTTGTGAGCGACATACTTTGAGGAGCTGTTGCTGCTTTGATAGCCACCGCACACGATCCCAGTGTCAGAAGACTCGCCGGCTCTAACGATGGTCTGCCGTGCGAAAGAAGAAAGATGGAATGAAGCCGTCACCAGAGAAGTCAATTCCACGGCACATCAGCTCATTCCCTACGATTTGAGCATTTCTGCCTTCTATGGCTTTTTATGTAATCCTTCTTGTTATGCCGGCAACGGAAACTAGCTCTGTGAACTCTTTGAATAAATTTTGGAGATATAATTTATAACATAATAATCATAAGGGATTTTAATTTTCCAGAAATTGACTGACGTACAAATGCTTTCCCACCTAAAATTCAGGTTTTTTATTTAATGGTCAAACCGGTCTCAATTAGTTCACCCATCGACAAGTAAAGATATAATAATTTATTTAATTGTTGTTGTTTTCCTGAATAATGATCCACTATTCGTTGCGGTGCCCGATAGTAGCTGTCCGCCATTTCATTAGACTGAAAGTGTCCCGATTAAATGCAGCTCCCTTCGCTGTGCACACTTTTTAAAAAACGAACTCGAAATATTACGTAAGTGGTTTAAGGATACATCCATTAGCTCATTATTGGTTCGCTCAAGAATAGCAAAAATAATTGAACTAGCCTCAAAAATGAGGCCAACGCGAGATAGGCGTGGGGACTCTTCAGCTGTTAGTGATACAAATCCCTCTAGATCTGTTGCACTGATCTTCCGTCTCAGATTGTCTGTTAAGTCCTGCCGCCTCTGCCAAATCGCAGCGATACCCCCGGTACAGAGGATTCGATCAGAGCAGAGTTGTTATATTTATTCCTTGCCAACCACTAAACCTTTGAAACTGACCCATCCCTCAATTCCTCTGTCACCCGATGCTTTCGTTACCACCATTAGTTTTGCTTCTATATTGATTTTACCATGCTCTTATAAATTCAAATATATTCTATAGAAGGACGCAGAAAATATCTTTCTTTTACCCACTTGGTGGCACATTATGTATTTTTAATTTTTTTGCCCATACAAAGATTATTATTCAGTTTTAAAAATTCTTCTTGATTTCCGCGTAACTTTGGACGCGACCAGCCATTATATTTTTACTCGGGGTTTCAAAACTACAAGCTGTATACTTCCCATATAAGAAAAAACATAAATTTCTATATGTTATTAAGGAGTTATTATTCAGGACTCATAACATTTTGTAAGGGATGCTTACCATATTATACACTTTATAAACAGCATTAGCATGTAGCAAGCAGACCGTCCTGTTGTTCTGAGGGACTAGCTTCATGTTTACGTCTGCCGGTTTGATGGGGCAGGGTGGAGACAACGCTGATTTCCTCTTTTTGGAACGGTTAGTCTTGGACCTTGACACCACACGGACAAACAATATCACAAATGAACAGGTATGGTCTGAGCAAGAAAAGAAAGTTCGAAGCGCAGGCGATATATTGGTGAGAAGATGGAAATATAGGGATGGGGGACAAGAAGCGTCAGAGGCGCTGGTAAGTTTCGCGGAGCAGAAATGAAGGGGAAAACACTTGGAGTTTAAGGTTTTGATTTAGGGGGTACAAGGTTTACTGATTTCTGCTTTTTATCCGGACTCAATCCAATGTCTCGTCTGAAAACATCAAAGGGGAAGAAACACACTCATTCCGCGACACTTAGTCTCCCGTCTCTTTTTCCTGCTTGCCCCTTTTTCTGTCCCTTTAAAACAAACCCGCCTTTTCTGATCTTACAAGTAAACGTGCTGCTGCAAGGCTGTTTCACTGGACATTCTAAGTTTCGTAATTATAAACTACTTAGGACCAAAAATACTCTTTTTTCGAGCATAAAATTTAAAGAAGACATAATGTGCCGCCAAACGGTTGAAAGAAAAAATATTTTCCGCATCCTTCTGAAAAATTCATATTACGTAAGTAGCCATTTCTAAGGAATGTAGTTTACGCAAGCGGCCGATAAGAAGCTCGCTCGAAAGCCGGTATTCGGACGTGATTGGAATACCTTGGCATTCTGCGACAAGGCAATTAACTTGACAATCCTACTTAAGTAATCTTTTCGAATCGAAGCAGACTTCAGAATTTCGGCTAACATTTCATGAGACAGCCCATCTACTGTAAATAAGGGAATGAGAGTGTTTAACTAACGATGAAATACCATTAATATAAAAAATAGGACCTAATGCGGTACCTTGGAGGACACCGTTTACAATTGGACAGTCTTGTTTCTGCGTACATGTAATGTAGAAATGGAACAAACGAAAAAGTAGCAGTTACAGCAAAATATCAGTATTTATATGGCCACTCCGCCACGCATTCATAATCGTATAATGGAGCCTAAAAGTGAGCAAAGATATTAAAAATAGCCGCGATGCAAACAGAGAGGCATGCTCTTCCGTTCGAAGCCGAAAATATCATTGTTTTAAGCAATGTGAAAGAAAAGACCAAAAGTTGCAAATGTTTACTTGGCTTCACCGTGTGAAATGCAAAGCACAGATAAATTAGTCAACACAGTGCAATATTAAGGCATTCCTTAAAAATAGAAAGTTGTATAAAGTGCCGAAAACCCAGTCGTCGTCGTTGACTTTTGCTGTGATCGCTCGTTATATTCGACGATGAGGTTTCAGGTCTTGATGTGTCCTGACACGTGACCAAGATGACCGATGGTTCGACCATCGTACCCCGCCATGTCCCCTGTATGTTCCACAGCAAAGCAAAGCAGGCACGGTGATTTGCGCGTGAATAAGTACATAGTGGGAGTGGACTTGCGCAGCATCTACTCCATTATCTCCTTCTCACCACCTGGGCCCGGCATCAAGACCTAGTCAAGAACTCGGGGGTGGAAGAGAGCGCGGGTAGCTGGCACAGTTGGACCCGTACCTAGGCGTACCACCACATCCCCTGGTCTACAACAAACACGACCAGGATTTTAACCAGCAATAGCATTGGGCAGCCATGCTTAGGACCTGTATAATCAGTGAGAGCGCAATCGCATCTGCCGGCGGGGAACCAGGTGCCAGAGAACTGACAACTCACACCAGGGTCCGAGGGCCATGGTTTGCTGATCGTGCCTACATATCTTGAGACTCAAACGACCATCTGCATGATAAAAACACACAAACTCACGCTACTTCGATAAACGCCTTCAAGAAATATCTTATATTGAAGGTTTTATGGACGCATAATGCAAAATCTATCTTGATGGCAATCAACTAAAAACACTGAAAACCGTAAAGTATTTAACCGATCTGAAACTAACCGAAATCCAGAGCAAAAGGAAAGCGCAAGTAACGTTCACGGAAGAAAAGCCCTCTTCAAAAACAAAACTGGTATGTTTACGATTGTACTGCCAAATCTATTTAAATTATTTAGTCACTGAACGGCCCTGCAACATGTGACCCTATACAACTTTATCCCACTGAAGTCTCCATCCGCAAAATCAAGCAAAATCCTGCCTGCCTTAGTGAATCGCATCTCAATTAATGCAGAAGCGAAAAAAATACGAGTTCTCGGGAAACCGTTTTGGAACCTTTACTCAGAATTTAGGCTATTGACGAACCGCCATACCAGATATTACACTAATTCTTAATGCGTATTTAGATGTAAAACCAACTAAAGGTTATTGTAAAATGTTACTCTGTTTATGCTATCATATTTGCTCAGTTTTTTGCATGGATAGGACTTCTGTACATCTAAATCTAAATTTTACACAATTACGACCATTTTGGCGTTTTCGAGATGCTTCGAATCGAAATCGACCCCGATTACGCCCAACTAATTATACAAGCACTTGCTTGTCGACGCAGAGACGAATACCATAACGTAAGTCGGTTAATTGGAAATAGCGCAAAAGAGATATTTAGTAGTGAATTAAATAACAGTATCGGGATATTAAAAAAATTTACAGGGTAGAGTCCCTCAGTCCTCAGGTACTATTTTCTTTCAGTTGCCATGGCGGGCTCCTGTAGAGAAAATAGAAAGTGCGTTTATAAGTTAAAGAAGAATTTTTCATACTACTAAAGGATCAGAAAATCATACAACAAACAAAGTATATTAAGTAGTTTAGTTGGTAACTTTTATGGATACGAGAGAGGTGTGTTTTTCATAACTTACAAAATTTTCATGCTACTGAAGTTGTCAAAAACAGTGATGATGTGTTCATGGAGATTGTTGAATAAGGCTTATTGATGGTAATTTCAAAAGGAAATTATCGTGTCTTCTGTGGGCAACAGACTGAGGCATGCCTCTGTGGCGTCGGTTCCTCGAAAATGCTGAATTGGTGGATTAAATCAAATTATTCGAATTACCCTCTCAACGGCTTCCCGGCGCTTAGATCTCCCACCGTACCCGTATCTTGCTCCGTGGAACCAGGTAATGTTGTGTTTACGTAGTTCCTCACTTGGCGACTTTCCGAAAGTAGGGCTCAACCTAATAACCTCTGCGGATGTCAAATAGATTTTACCTACCGGTGAGGATAGTATAGAGGGGACAACTGAAGAATGACCTCCTCCTCCTCCTCCTCCTCCTCCTCCTCAGCAGAACCGAATAATTCCGCGGTTTAACGAACGGGGCTCGTCGTACTTAGACTGAAAATTCCCAAGGATTATTTGCTGGAAAACTTTTAAGTACGACACATCTAAGTACTTCCTATTCAAACCGATGGCAGCTTACTAATCTTAAGTTTCTATGAGTTCGAAGACTAGAAACCCGCCTTTGTCTTATTTTTTTGCATGATTCATAGTTTGAATCTTCCTCGGATTTCAGCCCTTACGTCTTTTAGTGGTCAATACAATCTTCATAATTCTTCCTTGATTTTAACTCCTCCTCCTTGTCCACCTCTTAACGCTCTCTCTTCTTTATCTCCAGGTATATATTTCTTTGGAATAACTTGCCAATCGAAATTAAATCGTCAAATGGTCTGTATGCTTTTAGGAGAAAACTGCACCTTCATCTTACCACTGACTCGATTAACCTTTTATCCTCACCCTTCGAGAGCAGCTTTCTCCACGACTCTGAAAAAGGGTCATTGGGCATTTAGGGAGATGCCGCCAAATCACCTTATTCGCTTACATTTCCCATTCCGCGTGTGCTTTCGTTTTCCACGATTTCTCAGCAGAAATCTCGATTTTTTCAGTCCACGCATCGTGCCCTTCATAAAACTTGATGCTCTACCTTACCAACCTCACGGAGAAGTTGGCGGGGTCATATTGACACTCATGATCTAGACCGCCTCCGTTTCGCTCGCCGCTAATCCTCTCCAGGATTCCATTCTAGTCACTGGAATGTCGAGGTCTCACCCCAACTGTCGGTGTCACACTGTGTCTGCCACTGTGCGTGACCGATCGCATGAAATGTTGGCCAAAATTCTGGAATGCGTTTCCGATTAGGAAGGATTACTTAAGTGGGGTTGTAATACTGACTAACGTGAAGCATAATCTGATGGTATTTCGGACTCGCCAGGATGTCAGCCTGTGAATACACTTCTTTTTCACCTCCTGCAGAAACCACCCTTGGTAAAAAAAAATGACTACTTAAGTAGCATGCATTTTTCCTATTGATTTTCAATGGTCTTATAAATTCAAATGTATTTTATCGAAAACGTGCACAAAAATATGCTTTATTTTACTCGTTTGGTAACAAAGCACATTGCCTTTATATTTTATACCCGAAGAGATTGTATATTTAGGTTTTGAATAAGTCTCCCAATTCCCGAGTAATGTCGAGCCTGAACAACCGTTGCATTAGCGTTTAGCGATTTTAGTCCACAAGATGCATGTTTCCCGAGTAAGGAAAATCATATATTCCTCTATGTCTGTAAGAAGATACTACATAGGATTCATAAAATTTCGCGATGGATCCGGACTGCGTTGCACATTTCATGAGGCGCATTGGTAAACCGACATGTGCAGTCCTGTATGCACGGACATCGCACGGTCTTAGGGTATAGGATATAAAGGCGATGTGATTTTCTACCAAACGAGTAAAAGAAGGCATATTTTTGCGCATGTTTTCTGTAAAATATATTTGAATATATAAGACCATCGAAGATCAATACGAAAAATGCATGCTACTTAAGTAGCCATTTTTTACCAAGAGTGGTTTCTGCAGTAGGTCAAAAAGAAGTACATTCAAAAGCCGACATCCTGGCGAGTCCGGAATACCATGAGATTTTGCTGCATGATAATCAGTATTACAATCCCACTTAAGTAATCCTTCCTAATCGAAAACGCATCCAGAATTTTGGCCACCATTTCATGAGATCGATCACACACTGTACCATCCCTAGACGCACTAAAATGACGCTTCGTTCTCACTAGCTGACTAGCCATTGTAGTTTCATCCTATCCTCAGGAATAATTGTCTCTGCTCCTTCATATCCTTTCGCGAGGTGGTCCATTCCTCCTGAAAATTTATTGAAAGCAAGGGTTCCCCGTAAATAAGCCGGAAATGGCCAATAGTCCACCTCGTCCCTGTCGACATTTCCTCCACCGCGTATCTCTCTGTTAGACCGCAAGAAACTTTCCTAACCAGCATGACGTCTTGGGGTTCCAATCATACGAAGTGCTACCTGAAATGTCCCACTTTCTTTTCATTATCCATTCACTCCTTCGTTATCCATCACCAAGTGCTTTTGTAGGTTGGATGACTCACTTGAAGAACGGGTTATCGCCAACAGCGTCCCGTCTCTTATCTTCTCAAAATAGTTGTTCTTCTTGTAATCTCGAAAGTTCATCCACTGCTCTGCATCGTCTACCTCAATAAACTGTATGCATCCTCATTTTGAAACAAAACTAGTCTTTTTCTTCCCTCTGTTAGTTGAATTTGCACCAACAGTACGTAGGGCTCTCTTCTGGAATGACTTCAGTAGGCCAACAAAGAGGGGACTGCCAACTGGAGTCTGATTTCCTCAAGTGTGTCAAACTCCAGTTACCTACGTTTCATACACACGCACACAAAAGCGCCCTATCGATCGCCGCGTCGAGACCGGTACATGATTGGCCGCAGCACGACTCCGGAAATGGGCCTATCGGCATGCATGACCGTCAGGGCGAATGTGGGCTTTAGTCGTTGTTCACTCCTTGCGGCAAACTGCTAAAAGCAGCCAACCTTGCTTTTGGTCGTATTCCCGGTTTACAAGAAGTTGTGATGCCTCAATTCCCGACAGACGACAAAAAAACAAAATACTGCGAAACTCGAACGAACAATATTTTCCTGCGAACATAATCTTAACTTTCTACTGCTAGCGTGTCATTCGGAAACCGTAAAACAAAAGTACATTGTCGGAGCAAATGCGACGTCCAATATTTTGGTGATTTGGAAGGATGCCTATGATACACGGTGTAGAAAGTGGGCCGGCTTTCTTGGTGGACAAAAACTCGTCTTCGTTCTCAGAATTATGAGTACACAGTAGTGATTTACAAGCTAAAGCCTAATTAAGGTTCCCGGAAATGATGTTGTAGGTTATTCGTGAAATGTTTCTGTCATTCCTTAGAAGGTTTCCAAAACAATTCTAGAAGTTGTCGTTCACGCGTAGAACTGTTTGTCCTCCGATTTCGCAGTAAATCATGAGGAACCCACAATGATCAGGACTCCTAACTCTGCAAAAAAATTAAAATTATTAGTCAGCTCTGGAAGGTAGCTGGAGAATTCAGACATGAATGGCATACCAACACGGGCTGATCAAGCGACCAAATCTCATTTGCTGACTGGAGATATTAAGTCTGCTTCTTTCTGTGTTGTGTTCTCGAATCTGAACTCCGTCCCACTCCCGCCCTCTTGCTTATAGGGACGCCAGCTAACTCCGGGTTAGAAAAAGGTATGTAACCGCGAGGAAGTTGTTCAAATAAGTGCGGTAATTTATACGTTCGCTGTTCCCGGTTCCGCCTTAAACTCCATCGACCGAGTCTTATATCGAAAATACCTGGTCAACAGTGCTCGCGTGCTCGCTCGGTGTGGCCGCGTGCGCAAGTCGATGGAATCGCCACATGAAGAATCGTTCCCGATACTTTCAGGTATAATAAAAGACCTGCTGAACCTATCCTAGTGACAGCGAGGACGTGGTCAGCGTTGACCAGGTCAGGGCCACCATCCCAGAGGAACCATCGGGTCTGCCTCAAGAACAAGAAGTGTTGACCTCCTACCCCTTGCTCTTCCACCACCCCACCCTCTACCCCTCCATTCTGACAGCTCCCTACCCCGTCATGCCCGTTGCCTTTATCCGTAACGTCGTCGTCGTCCTCCAAATCACTCACCCTCCTCGACTCGTCCCTTCACTTTATGTCATATGCAGTGGACGTCATGTTCAGTCCCCTGAGCGATTGGTTACTCGTGTTTTTTTTTAGACATGAACTATTCCGTCGCCTTTGCTACACACCGCCTTCGATCTGGCCGTGGTCGCCAGCACGGCTGTTTACCCGTGGCGTCTTAGGTCGGCCTTAGCCCGCCCGTCGAGCTCTGCGAAGGAAGGTGTGATTAAGCCTTTGCCTAGACGACCCCGCGACGGGGGTCGATATTTCTGTCCTCATTGGTCTCAGCCGCACATACCTCGTGCTCGGAAGGACAGCTTAAACGACTGACGACGACACCCGCTGGCATTGCCTGCCGAGCTTCGAGTACACTCTCCTGTCGCAATAAAGTTTGTCCGATAACTCGGTCTTCCCCACCTTATGATTTGGGTGCGCTCGAGTTTTCGACAGACGTGCCTGGATAATTTTTTCAGTATCGGTGAAAAAGCAGGGAAAAGTGCTCGCAAAGAAATTTTACGAGCGCAAAATCGATGGGGTTTGTCTGGATGGAATCCATCTTGAGGCGTTTTCTTTATCGTGGACGAGTTGGATTTCTCGGGAAAACTGGCGGCTGAAGTCTAGGTGACGCATCCCACGTTGCGAGTACGTCTGGGAATGACACTTAGAACGAAAACTAGAGGCTTGTGATTCCTAAGCAAGACGAAATCGCGATCATTGTGAAAGCGTCGGAAATTTCGGACGGTCAGGCGTTCCTGACGACAGACATTGTAATGGCTCTCTTCTCGGCTATGTTTCTTCAAAAGGAAAACGAGAGATTGCAGAACATCGCCAACGGTTCGTTAGAGGGATGCATCAACGGCAGTGCTCGAAGCACAAGTCATGAGGGTAAGATGGGGGCAGGCAGACTTGCCTTCCACAAGGGCGACCTCAGCGTCATTGAAGGAATGGATACTCTTCTTGTTTATTATCAGCGGCTTCTTGGAGGGGACCAAGAGGCAGAGTGGCTACAAGATGGTGATTCCGTGGGGGAGAAAACAGTAATAGTAATTCACCATATCTAAGGAGTGATGTGGTTGATTGGTGGTCTTAGGGACAGGGAAATTTTTTATGACTGAAACCTCTTCCGGAGCGGGGTTTAGCCCATCATTGTGACTCGAGAAAACTAGGCTAGATACTTCAAACTAACATTTATCAGTATTCGCGAATACACCGTGAAACTCGGCTTACGTAACCACTGCGGCAAAGACTTCCAGTCCTCCTCCTCCTCCTCCTCCTCTTCCTCCTCCTCCTCCTTCTCCAAAACCTGTGAGAACCCTCCCGACTCCTCGTCAACCACCGCCCCACCACCACCAGCAATGCCGACTCAGTCCAAAATTATCCTCATTGAAACCACACCTGCGCACCACGCATAGGCCTGGTCGGTCACTTGCGAGCCCATCGCACGTAGACTAACAAACCAGTACCCGAAGTACTGGTATGCATTCGTCCCGACTGCGTGCACTGTTCACACACAGTCACCGCATAGGTTCACTCAGTCATATGCCCATCCCTGCAAATCTGTGGCAAACCACTGCAGAGCAGACTCCATCAGCACACATTTCCCCAGAAACACATACACCACACACAAACCCGTCCCATATCACAACCCACAGGCACGGAATAGGCAACTGTCAAGTAAGCGGGGAAGCGTCTTCTTCAGTTTCCTCATCAGGGGGATTTCGTGGTACTCTAACACATCTAGGTTTCTAGCAGCCCACAGCCCTGGCGCGAAAACCAGGTGTGTTGTGTGATCAGGTCGTGCGTGGCACGCATAAAAACACTGTTAGGCCCTGTCAGCCACGTGCATGCAGTCCTCACATCAGGTGACTGATAGGCTCGGATGGTGGGCTGGTGCCTGGAAGAGTGAAGGAATAGGGAGATGTACTTTCCAGAATAAATCTGACACGTTCGAATCGTGCACGACGCACAAAGAGTGGTAGTTTGAGGTTCGTCAACTGACCGTAAAACCCCGACCTCACAATGGGCACACTGTGAGCTTATGTGAAGTGGTCGACTGGAGGACTGAGAGCCAGGATCAAGGGCTCATTCTTAATACTTCCTTTATGAAATTCTTACGCATGTACGATCCAAGCTGTTGACCTCTTTCGGGGTGAAAGCCGAGTGTATTGTGCCGGGAGTTAGGTTGTGTTTTCCACGTGCAGACGGGTTATTCCTAATTTTGTCAGCCATCTCTCCCAATCCCAGCATCATTTGGTTGACCCGCTCAGACAACCGACTGGTGCAGGGGGAAGGGAAGAGTGAGGCTGGCCGTCTCAGCACATATTCCTCACTGCAAGCACTCTGACGCGATTTTAAACTATATGGGTGAGCTAAAAGCTGGGGCTTGGAAGGCTGCCAACTGGCGAAATAATTCGATCCTCCTCTCAGGACGGAGAGACAGGCTGCAATGACTCCCTCTTGATGTGTCCTCTGTGCCACTCCCACTCAGATGGGATCTGAGCCGCTGCTTTCTTGTTTGTGCGAAAACCCGGATCCATCGTGCGCGGAAGGACTGTCTACTCTGTCAACCATTGAGCCCCCCGTCTGCTTGGCTCTGTCCTGACACCAACTCAGGTTGATGAAGGGGGAGAGACTGTGGCAGATGCAGCGAAGGTCTGCTATCATTACGAACTAATTCACGCGCAAACCATGATTGTGGGGCGCACGGTGGACATCGTCGTCCGCGGCTGTTGGACCGCCATCTGGGTCTGCGAGGTCTCCCTTATTGGAAATATTAGTAACTGCGATTACTGGCTGACGTGTACCGGAGAGTGCTGTGTCGACCAGTGAACTCAGTCGCACTTTCCTTCATCTCATAACTAGAAGACAGTAAGTGTAGGGCAAGCGAGACTGGCACTGTGCAAGTCTTACCAGACATGATTAAGGCTCGGTATAAGCTACTTGCCTCCTGCAGATGACCCGCGTCTAGAGCGATAGATTAATTAAAGGGCTTTAGCCAAACCCTGCGTTACCAACTGGAGTTTACAATCCAGATATTCAAATCATGGGGACAAAGCTGGCCAACGATGGCGCCTACACTATAAGTGGATCCTGTAGTACTCAAGTTTTGTCGGTAAACCTTTAACGAGAATCCTGAGACATAACGGGACGAGTAAGTCCCGCAAAACGACCAGGAACCGCTACTATACCATCAGTCTAAAATAACCAGTTTCTAATATGCTCCAATTGCAAACACTAGAGAGAAGATACTGAGCTCCAAGTCGGTGTCGTCGACACCTTTGTTGTCCTTCGGAAAGAGACATTTTGATAATCGTTCCGATTATTATGAAACACCGTCTATAACGGCAGTCTGCCGAATTAGTTCTCCCTTTCAGTCAGGAGTGTCTTAAAATGCACGCACAAGAAGAAGGAGAACCAGGCTGTTAATACCTTTGTCGAAACACTGGCTTTTAAGTACAGTGTGTAGACTCTCATCGGCAGTCCTTGCAGCAAAGTTACAGGGGGGCTTGGGCACCTATCAGCTGCTCGCCAAGCGAACTAGCTTCTGCTGCCCTAGCTTCGAATCCATCTTCTCTCACAGTGATATGCAGGTGCTCAGGGCAAACCAGATCTGAAACGGACCGCAGAGGTATCAGGGACTTTAGCCAATACCCACCAGTCGGTCTACAAATTTGAAAACAAGATTTAAACGAACTCCCTGGATCCCCCGCCGCACATTGCCGTTGACAACAAGATGCCGCGACAGACTTCACCTAAATCAGTTAGGCCAGTCATAATAACACCCGTGTCGGATGTTAGAATGATCACGGACCTTAGTCTATAAACATGAGGTCTAGGAAGTTAGACCTTAAACTAGACAGGACCGGGACAGAGAGTGAGAGCGTCATATGTAAATGTCTTAAGTTAGGCTGCCCAGGTGTAAGATTTGAAATTGTAATCGGAATGATAGAGTCCTCTTAGTCGATTCTACAGGTGGATCTCTGTCCAGTAGTAACAAGAATAATAAGCGGCTTGGAACGGCAAACTTTTGGAGAGTCAACGGTCTGCAATACAGATCCTAGATAGTGGAAGCACCTGAGATTTCAATCTCGGGCTTGAAGGCTATGGGACTCGGCCAGAGAGCCCACCAAAAGTCTCCAAATTATCCATTATCGCTGGCGGTGTTACAGGGAGCATCTGCTAGGGACTGATGATGCTGAACTGTTCGAGATGGTTCATACCAGTCCTGAGAACAGACATTCCATCCGCTTCCAAGCAAGGCAAAAGTATGCTAACACACCAGGTCTGGCTATAAACACGAAAAACGGATGCCTGCCATGACTAGGCGAATTCACAGAGACATCTATAAAGAGAAAATATAAGTCGGGCGCATAATTTTTAATGCATGCAACGGGATTGCACAGCGCACAATGCAGAGCTTGCATTTCTCGCCGAAATTACAGTACTCAGGAAATACACTTGTCTATGTGTTTGCCTTCGGAAATAGACGTAAACGCAACGTAGCACTTCTTCCTCTTTGCCATTTTTTATCGTGGGTTTTTCTGAGAAGGTCAGTCAATCTGACGGTCGCAGCGAGCGCTCATTTGTGCGACTTCCTACGGCCCTTGAGACTGATCAGCCTCCACAAGGTCACGATTCTTCGTAAACAGACCGTACGACGGGAAGTTGTGCGAACAAACTTCCAATTTCCTTGAAGCATCGCCAATGGTGCGACCAGAAGAGAACCGCATTTCTGAAAGGATATTTGTGAAAAATAAGTTAGATGTTGAACAAGTCACTGCTTATCATCTTCGTCAAATAGAAGGTCATTGTGAAAACTACGCTTGTCCAAATAGTACATTCTTCTCTTTAAAATATATAATCTCCCCCCTGAAAACAAAGAAGACGTTCAGTAAAGGAGGCCTAGATTGCCACTCGATACAGGTTAAAATCAACCAGTGATTCAGTCTAACCGGTCTAGTCAAGACGATAAGAATCTGTACCAGAATCCCGGGCGCACAGATTGACATGCTATTAATTTTGGTAAAATGACATAGTCAACTTCCGGTAACTTTTACTGCACATAAATGGATACTTGAAATAGTAACAACATGTCAACGGAAACACCGCTCCCCCCAGACATCCCAAAATTATTGCACAAGTTAGGCTCGGAACAGTCTACGAATAACTTACTGAAGCTCATTTAAGGAAATTTTTCCATGCGCTGCGAACTGGTTATTTGGACGTAGACCCGTAGGTTCCCCAATAAGGGTCCCACGTAGCGCCTGTAATAGACCTACTAAATGGTAATCTTGACGACCGAGGTATTTTACCTATGTTGCCAAGTGCATTTTTCACATCGCCTTCGTAGCAGTACTGATGTAGTAGAATAGATAGATATGAGGACAACTGAGGACTCATAAACACCTATCCCCGTCAAGCCTGACAGGGGTTTCCAGCAGGTCGCTGCCATCAGGACCAAATAGTAGTCGGGCAAAATATGCCAGAGAATGACCGGCAAAATTCGGGAGGCCTGGCATAGAAGCTGTTTCAGAGCCACTTATGTCTTTCAGCCGTAGTCTCAACCAAAACTTGAAATGAAGACATACTGGTTGTTCACGGGCGAGGCCAGACCGACGAGCCTACGGAACTGCACAGCTGGTGTCCCGTCAGTGTACCTTTACCAGTTAGTCATCCCCAGGTTAGCCTAAGTACTCCTTCTCGCTAGAATAACTGAGGCATGTCCGGCTGATGAGGCATGACAAAACCTGAAATAGATGCTGTTTCGGGCGATTAATTCTATCCAACCAGTCAAAGACAGTGCCATTATGCTCCGTAAGCACCTCATAACTCATGACACAACAACACTTGTAAACAACTGGCCCCTAAAGGTAGCTATATCCAGATAGAAGCAAGTAACCCAAAATATGTTCCACAAATATATTACACTTGACGCACGTGCCCCTCATCTATGCTGGATCTGCTGTCTTCACTGTGTGACAATTGTATCACAACTACGTCACACCCTTATGCTCAGTGCTCCGTCACATTTGCACGAAATGTTTCATCAAGGTCCACAGATCTGGTCCCGAAACTTCGATCTTCGATAGCCTAAGCCCTCGTGACCTCTTCGAAGCCAATATTATTGTGTTGCGGCTGTGCTGGGATAAATTGGGATCAAAATGTCGCACGGCACGCATTGGGTGGGTTGCTGTAATTATGTGCGGAACGCATTAGATGGACGGCTTGAGTCATGCCGAATTTCATTACCAATCAGCCGGATGTCTAGAGTCATTGAATGGTGTACTAGAAAGAGAAGGCGAAATCAGACCGCTATTGAGATATCAATTCGCATGACAACTTGGCGCATTGTTTACAATAGTAAATCTGACGTTCTTGAAACTATCACGGCGCGCCAAAAGTTCTGACCTAGAACTGGATAACTGGACTTTTATTTGGAGCGAGGACCAAGACGCAGTGGGTCTCCACTAATTCGGCCCCTATGACACTGTTATTTGCGTAAGATATGAGACACTCCACTTTTTTCTAAACCCCAGTTTATGCAAATGCAGGTAATAGATCGTGTGTGGCATGCATTATGCCCCCAAACGGGCCATGTGGTAGATGCACTGGACAGGGCCAAATCGGATTCTGACAGGCGTTATCGGAATGCACATCATAACAAATGCCAACATTTCAGGATGCGGTGACAGGCCCAGTTGCCGGCTGACATCGCGCATATTGGGACCCCTGCCGCTTTCCATTTTTATCGTTGGTTTAAATCCTGGTCATTTGCTGTGTAGACCAGGGGGTGTGGAGTGGAGCGTCAAGGTGCGAGCTCATCCGTGCTGTCCACCTGCGCCCTCCCCCACCTCCGGTCTTCTCGGCTCTGTCTTGACACCGGGCCCAGGTGGAGGAGGGGGAGAGAGTGCGGTGGATTCTGAGAAAGTCCACGTTTCCTCTAAACTAATTCGCGTGCAAGTCACTGTGCGTGCTTCACCTTGCTGTGGAGCACACGGTGAACATCGTCGGCAACGACGGTCCAAATGTCGTGGCATGTACGGAGCTTTCTTAACTCTTTATGACCATTTTTTAACTATTGCCTCCGCAGCCCATCTCCTGTGATGATGACTTTGCCCCAAGCATTGGACTATTGACAGCGCAGGAAGATGGGGGTGTGGTTATTAAAATGCATGGCCATTTTGGATACCATTCCTCAGTCGGTTCTCTGGACGGGGGTAAATCTCGTCGTCTCCATTGGCCGAATTATTATTATTATTAAATATACCGCCCTGAACTTCATGAGTAAGATGTGTAATATGCACCTTGACAGTAGAAGTCGAGAATCACCAGACAGGTCACTGTTTGACATCCGGACCCTATTCCTTCTGTAGCTTTTTCAAATTTATTCCGCGAACACCATGTTCTAAAATGACTCCGTTTTTCTGGGTATGCCCAGTGAATCCTCCCCTTTCAGGTACCTCGATGCAAACAGCAAAAACCCTAACCAACCAGGCTGTAAGCACAAACAGCAAGTCGATGACTGTGCCAGGCATTGTTTCGGGTCAACAAAATGGACCTAAAGTGATAGCTTCGTCTCCAGAATTGGTTGGAATAGGTCTGACAGAGACATGGATGTCTCAACGTCAGAGACCCATAGTCATGGAGTCCATCCCCAGCAAGTTGGAAGAAACAGGTCTACCTGAATAAAACGCTACAAAGAGCGGCCTGGATGTCTATTATGAAGTACAAATGTTAGAGAAACAGTGAAGGATGGAAGATACGGGTAGTTGTCAACTGCCAATAGAGGACTGTCGTATTTTTGGTTGGAAATTTGGGACAATCACAGGACCAGAGCTCTTGCCCATTCAGTCGTCAAATGTTAAATTGCATTATATAAAAGACGAAGGAAGTGTAGGAAGTTAGTCCGACAATGTATGAGAAACGGAATTGGAGTCTGCCATCAAAAGTGGCCATATGCGTTGACCTTTTTCAAGACATATCATTATTGCTCTGCGAGAGTTCCTGGTTCAATTTCAGTTGCAAGGAGGCAACGACTAGCTTTGAAGTATAAGGCTGCTGCCCGTTTTGAGCATTTTTGATGCCACATTACACACAAGGAAGTTAGGGAGTATATCGCAAATGCCCGCTCGAACGAGAAACTGACAGTCAAGTCATGTACTTTTTTATTATTTTGCTTACATAAATGACGAGAGAAATCTGGTAAAATCGAAATTTTATCCGGTTAGACAGAGGTTTTATTATTTGGAAATGGCTATTAAATACGGAAGATAGGCGAATTCTAGGATACTTGAGTGACTTCTAAATGTGCGGGTAGTTGAAACGCGTTACATATACAAAAATGAAACCTATGACACGACCAACAAGACACCGAATTCTGGCAATGTGAACCCTTGCCCAGTAGGGCGTTCTCTGGAGTGTCTTGGTTTGTTTCATGCGCTATAGGTACTAAAAAGACCAAGGTCGCATCTATGGAGGTTAAATAAAGTGATCAGAGTCTAGGTAATTACCGTACGAATGTACTCTTACTTGGTGCAGGAGCAAACGTCACTCAACACACAAAACAGCTTCCATCAAGATAAGTTATTTTAGACAACATAAAACAGTGACCATAGTTATCTCCTTCTCACAGAGTCTCCGGAAATACATGAAATTCTATGATATTAAGAGTAGACCACTAAAGTTTTCTTGAGAAGCAGTGAAAGCATGCGAAGAGGGCATTCCCCCCTATGCTAGTCAGCGCTAATGTGGGCACTGCCGGCGGACTCAGACCTCCCGCACATCAGAGCTAAGTTAGACGTCATATAAAACTGTTAGGACATTGTGGAAGTCTCGGTCAAGTTCCGGACGTTGAAAGCGTTTACAAGAGGGGCATTGGTCTTGGTAAAGAATAAACTCGTTCGTGTTATAGATAGGACTTAAAGTATCGCAAAGGAACACTGTTGCAGTTTTGGCTTTACTCATAGACCGTGAGCGGCATTTTAGCCACCAAATGAGAGTGTTGGAAAATAATCATTAAAGTAAAAGTCTCTGTCGTAGAAGGATGAGCTACGATTATCATCGAATGAGACCCAGGTTTGCGCGACTGACTCAAGTATCTTCCGGCGAGTATTTTCAATTTCACAATAGTCGTGTATCGTGAGTGAAATGTAGCTGTGTTATGGTGTGACCAATGAATAGAGGTTCACTAATCTTCATATTTTTGAGATGGACTCGTCTGTAGCTACGCGAATCTTTTGAATTCTTATCACAGAGACAAAGATATTGATGTATTCTATAGAGCAACCTTTTTGCCGATGTTTGGGTTTGTATTTGGGTTTGTTGCACATGGGTGAAACGGAAACCTCGGTTTCTTGCGGTTCGAGCAACAAAAAATACGTTTTTTCGGGCTTTTAACCAACGTCAACTCACGCTGCTGTCTACAAGAAAGTTTGATTTTTTCACTGCGGAGACAGATTTGCTCTCCCAATCAGACTACATGCGATAACCCAGGATAGATTTTTAAAAGTCCCAGATAATGAGAGGTACATTTTCGTGTGAGGTAGTAAACTGTCTCCAAGTAACCTAATCAAGGGAGCAGGACGCCCACAAAGAAACAAGATGAATAAAAAATGATATATAGGGGTGATTGATTGCGACTTTTGTACTTCAGTTGCTGGTAGTAACAAGAAGTTTTTAGTTGCTTGGCGTCAGAATAAAAAATATGTTCAATGTAGAGGACAAAAGACTTAAGCTTCGACAAGAATAAAGTGAATGACTAGAGGGACTGAATTAACGATAAAAATAAAATGATTTGATCTCATTTTTAAATTGTTTTATATTCCGTGCTCCACAAATTCGTAATAAAATGTTGTATATGATAGGTAGAACAATAGTCACACAAATAGGGGGATTCTTCTAATGGTCGTTTTTACTCGTAGAAATGCCTTCCTTATATCTGAGGCAAGAGAGTAGGTAAATTCCCATCTTGTTAACTAGGGCAAGCAGTAGCATTAGAGCGTTAACCAGCAAAATGCCAAAGGATGAATGATACTGATGTCACAACAAAACACTAAAAAGTACGTCCAGCCATACGGCACAGTTGTGGCTAGATATAACCAGTAAATACTCTCGACTTCATTGATAATTTTTCTTCCTCGTGGTTAAATAGATAATGCAAATGCCCCAACCTCACTTAGGTTGTTTTTCAAGTAAGGGTGCAAAAACGCTGGCTTACACAAAAGAACCCAGGACTTTTATCTGCTTTTTAGTTTCAAGTCCGAGTAAAAAGTTCAACGACCACAGCTCATGAACTTTAAACGCACTTGGCTGCAATAAAATCATAACAGGCACTCTGCGTCTAATATACGGAAGCCACGCTTCGAGTACTGAGAAACGCAAAAAGTGCAACTTACGGTGAACGTGTCCTTTGTATGTCGGAATGACGCCTTCATTCCGGAATATACGCAAGGAGTGCGGGTCTTCATTGAAACTGCTCGGTGGTGGCCCAATTCGCTCAGGTTTACTAAAATGCGAACATATAAATTGGTCAAAAGGAAGTACAGTTTGGAAGTCGTCGAAATATACTGAGTTCGTAACAAGGGTGGATTAATAAATCAGCAACTGAATTGGTATATACACCAATTTGACATAGAAAAGTGGATTTACTATTCCACGTGGTATTATCGAGGACAGAATACTTCGATAGTCATGGTAAACTTTGAGAGAGACATTAAATAAATATATAAATAAATGTAGGTGCTAAAACCTCTTTCAGTGTTTCAAGACCTACGAATGGAAACAGGCCCTTTTCTCAATTAATTAAAACTAAGACTTTAAACTGCGGATCTAAAAACGAGGATCTGCTCTTTCCTCGTTTTTTGTCAGCGTTACAGACCATCGGAATATAAATATCACGAAGGATCATGGAAATCAAATGCCATTAGAAAGACCAGTAGGATACAGGCGATTAGAAAATATGTCGAGGCAAGTGAGGCGATTCAAATTAACAGACGCTTTCAGATCCTAGTTTATCGTCCAGTACAATACAAAATATGAACTAAAGACAACTTTTGGAATTTCTCAGCAAAGACTTATAGATTCAGATGCTGTTAAGATCATGCGGTATTGACAATCACCAAGTCAGCACGATTGAAATAATGCTTGTCTTCAAGGACAAGTCCTCTTATGTATTCGCTACATTAAGCCTGTTTAGAACAAGCTGTTAGGTGACGAAGCAGCTGAAAAGGAATGGAAAGCCAAATCTTTGCGGCCAGCCTATTAAACTTTTGTAATCTGAGAGACAAAATAAATTCTGAAACTCCTCAGCATTTTGTCGTAAAAAATTTTTCTTGATGGAAAACATAATAATTCTAGTCATAAAAAAACCATTAAAATATCGCTGACATAAAATAAAAATAGCGATGAATAATCCTATCGATTTCTAAGGGAAATAATAATTTACAAAACATGGTTAACAGTCCCATGATTCTAGTAAAATACAGGAGACGAAATGTTACATTTCTTTTAAAAAGCATCGACCATCGCTTTGGGCAGTAGTTACAATATTCCCTGTGTTAAAATGGCTAAATTGCTTTAGGAAATGCAAGAACATCAAGAAATTAAACGAGAGCAAAAAACGAAACATACGGCTTGAGTGGTTCGCTTGGGTAACTAAGCCGGTCGAAATGGTTTTTAGTTTTGATCCGAAACACTTCTAATGACCGCTCAGCACCTGCATGAAAACGGTTCGCTGTTCCAAGCTCCGTCGTCCGAAGTTGCGGAATATAACCCGTATATCCGGGTATAGGTGGCTCCGTTGGTCCACGAGGGCCAATCTTGCCAGCGGTCTTTTTCAAATAATCGTCAATCCACAGGTTCATATTGTCGCGTGCACTCGGGTCGTCTCGAATGGGTTTTAATTTTGGGAACAAGCCACTTAGTTCCTTCAGATTTTTGGTGTCTTTCTCACGTTTTTGATACTCTGTAACAAACTCATCCACACATTCTTCGCATAAATGTTTAAAGGTTCCGCCAAATTTGTAAGGCATATGAGGGACGTCACCTGGAAAATAAAACCCACCAAAGCCCTAGGTACCGGTATATCCAGGAATCATTGTGTCCATGTACTTATTCTCGCCTGTGGCTTTGGGGATCTTGTCCCGTGGAATTTCGTCCTTGAAAACTTTCGGCGTTTTCGAGATTTTATCATCGCCAATTCGAGGCGTTAGATATATTTCGGACTACCAGATAGAAAATACACGAAAAAACTTACGGCGGTCGTTGGCCCTTTATAATAAGGCAATTTCTTTAAAAAAACCTCATAAAAAATTTTAAAGCAATACCGCTGCAATTTTAGCTGTTTGTATTCCATAAGTTAGCCCATGGACAAATTTGAATTGTGGACAATAGCCCATGTAACTGTATAGTGATAATAGCCAATACGCATTCCCTTACCCAGGAATATGAGCCCCCTGGGGTAGATTGCAAAAATCTCTTCGTTGTTCGGCTGTTGGGCCACCACCATATTCAATCGCAGTCATCTCGTTGCTTTCAAAGGCGGTGTCCCTTTCGTAAGTCTGGCATTGCCTTTTCCGTGAAACATTCAAACAAATGAAACTGAAGTGTTCAGTCCGAATAGGCACAGGTCATTCACGGGAAAAATTTAAACTTCTGAATGTCTCTTTATCTTTCTACTAGAATCTGCATGGGTAAGGAACCTGGGCCAAACACTTCAGGGTTTAATGGTAGTGTAGGAAAGGCATTCGGGAGTGACAAAATAATGTGCGAAGACGATACTACAAGACAAGGTGAAGTACCGAGAGTGAAAAACCGACTTCACCGTTTTAATATGAAAAAGGCGGTCGACAACTAACAGGACTGAATACATGACGAAAAGGGGCAAATACTCGCATTAAACGTCAGACTGGCCTGAGAAGAAACGGTTGTTGTATTCTCAAGAGTGATATCAGTAAAATCGACATATTTATAACAGACTCAACCTGCCGACTATGAAGATCACGCAGGATTGAGTACAAAAGGCTTGCCGGAAAAAGCCAATTTACATGAGACAAGGGGTATCAGCGCGTTGGGCTGGTACCACCCTCTGCGAATTCACAAAGTATACTATCGGATTCAGCAGATTGAAGTTTCTACTTCGGTGGTCTTTAACAGGCGGAACTGGCAGTTTCTAGGTCAATGACCATTCCTCTTCACCATATTGCCCAATTATTTCATGTTTTGCTGAACACATCTATAGGTCTGGCTGTGTTGCACGTGCAACGGCCGTATTCAACTAGCGAATCCGTGCAGAAACTTAAAAAGGTCTTTTGGATGTAAACATGGCCAACTTCATGACGAACTGTGGGATGTAATCTAAAACCACTACGCAAATGCCGGAGACTATGCCTGACAGCTCATCCATGCAGACTAAAGAGCGCACTTGTCCTCGCCCACCAATCTGTAAATTGCCACCGTCCACCTAATATCCAGAAGTAACAGCTTTTTGAATGCAGACTGGGCAGGTTCTGCGACTTTACAAGTCTTTAGTTCCATCAACCGTTACAGAACATGGCATACACACGACCATGTTCAAAAGGAAATTGGCGGGAAGCCGTGTTGTGAAAATTCTTAGGATGCAGATAAATAGCCAGATGACAATCCATATTTCCTGGAATCCTTTATTGTCGTAGCAGTGGTCATATTCATGAGGCATGCCCAAATGTTGTTAAAACCATACTTAACTTAGGCCTTAATGTTTATGTCCGATCAGAGAACTACTAAGACTCTTACGACTGACTATGGAACTGTCACTAGTGTGGTTGAGAGATTGTAGAGGCAAAAGGTCAGGAATAAAAAGTGATGGCTTGATAATCAGCGTCGACATTCTCAGGTTGCACTTCTGATTTACGATAGTTTTTAGTCAGAGTTGCATGCTATTTCAGCACGATAGTTCTTAATGTGTGGGAAAGAAAAGAAGCATATATTCATCAAGATATTTCGCGTGGATCTGCACTGGTATTTATTCGATAAACACCTAAAAAAAATCTATGCGGTGTTCCTCTGCAAAATGGGTCAAATCACTTGGGTGTTTCTAGGAAGAGTCAGTGCTAAATTTAAGTTACATATTCAGTCACCCGACACTGCACTTTTCCAGGCTTTGCTGCTTATTCTGAACCACTTTAAGCACGTCTCTGTGACCTACTCCAGGTGACGACAAACAAAAGGACCGCAAACTTTGAAAAATAACTCTTAATGAAGTATATTAGAGGCACTTTTAAACAACCTTGCTACAGATCAGCAGATCAAACGACCGTTCATGTGGTCGACGCCTTTTTTATTAGAGCTGGTCCCCGCCGACAAGACGGATACTGAAGGTGATGTACTCAAATGCACAGAACATTTTCCATCGAACGGAAACTGAAACTGAATACTGAGAGTGTTCACTTTGTTAGTTAAAAGAGTTATTTGTCAAAATGGTTCATGCCGACGAAGAAAACCGGGCGAACATTCGCTATGGATCGACCGGTAACTTAAAACCACCTTTAATAAAAAAATGAGAAGTGGAAGGGTTTTTGACTAGAGTGGAATATCGAATGTTCGTAGGAACTCGAAGGACAGCAAGGTGTATGTTAACGTGACGCTAATAGACTTTGAAGACTACGAAATAAGCATGCTGAAGAACTATTTGGCGCATCCCAGGTTTTGTACAGTTTTAAAGGTAGTAACATGAATATCGTGACCCGATTTCGACGCTGAGACCCCATAATAAAATAATGCAGACGGAGGACGAATCGAAAGTATCCATTCCCTCTTACTGTCTTCGGTCGGTATTTACTCATGAAACAAATCCTCATCCCCATCCGTATCCGCAACAACAGCAAAATACTGCATCGTTTGTATTGAATATAATAGAATATGTTTATTTTTAAATTTAAAGGACTGGGCGCGTCTTTTGAATTCGGTTTGAAATTTTCGACCTCCGTGGGATTTAACTTTTCCGAGTCTCCTGAGTCCTTGACACCCTGACGGCCTCTCGGAATTTACAAGTCGATTCTTCATAGCAATATCTAGATTCTCACAGAATTTCAACGGGAGTCTCGTTCGGAAAACCTATCTCCTTTCGACCACACCAGGACTTGTGAGGGATAACCTATCTTCGTCCAGTCGCCTCTCTGCAACAGCACTGAGCTATCCCCAAAATCTACGAAAGGCTGAGTCGTTTACCTCATATCCTCGATCTTGTTGAAAATTCGTGTCATACCTTTAAGAAAACCGTTTGAAACTTGTAAACTCGGTAATGTTATTCAGAGAAATGCCCTCAAAGCACGGTGAAAAATGCATGCCCAAGGCGGGATTTGAACCCGGTCCATCGGTCGGACAGACAACCATCGATACCACTAGGCCACTGACTCGCGCCAACGTTGTCAAAAATAATAATACATCTTGTATTACGCATGATATTAATGACTGCAGTGTTGGACGTTCTGCTGTCAGACCAATGCCCGTAAAACGCGCAAAAAGTCTAGTGACGTTGGGGGATGTCACATACGACGATGAAATCTGTACCACATGTTTCGGACTCGTCCATAAGTTTTCAAAAATGGAGGGGGAGCTAAAAGGTCTAAAAATGGAGGTGGAAAAGTTAAGGCAGCTTACTCACCACTTACGTGAAGAGAAGAAGCCGACGAATTCGGCAATTCAGAATCCGAAAAAAACATATACAACCACGGCTTCTTTAGCCATATCAAACGCTGAAACTGACGACGGTTCGTCCAGGGAACTAGGCACAGTTGAATGCCAGTCTCTTAGGCGAGAAAAAGACCAGCCGAAGCGAACTCAGATAACAAAGAAACATTCCAGAAAAACAACACGCACCTCTATACGGTCCAAAAAAACGAAGGCCGCCTACGTACACGCAGACCAGCGAAGGAGAACGACCAGGAGGCCTACGAAGGACCGCCAGAGGCTCCCAAATATGTTCAACAATAAACATATCGGAACACCTTGTGGACCGAATATTCAGGAGGAGGTTTCGAAAGAAACTGAGGTAAACTTTTTCGACGAACACCTTGGAAACACAGAAGGATGGGTTATCAACAGGAAGATAAATGAATCGTACACGGATCTCAGTTTCGTTAGCCCAATAGCTAGTTCATCCGAAACCAGCGAAACTAGTAAACTGGAGAAGAACGCTCAGTCACTCAAAAGATGTGTGACAACAGCGAGCACTAGGTTCAGTCGCCAGCAAAATGTAGTTATAAAAGGAATACCCGAATCAACGGCAGCAGTACCAAAGGAGAGAGTTAAGCATGACTTAGCCCTTCTTCAATTGTATGCGAAAACTTTGTTAAGAGACGATGAGTCACTAAGTGTTCTCAAAGCATTCCGAATAGGGAAGAGTCAGTCAGCATCCGGTTCCAATTCCCGGCCTCGACCCCTAAAAGTCATTTTGGATACTGAAGCACAGGCCCAGCTTCTGTTACAGAGAAAATCATCTCTACGGGGTCAGCATCCTGAAGTTTTTTTTCGGCCGGATTACGAGCCAAAAGAGCGAATGAAAATGAGAGAGCTGATGACGGAGCTGGAAAAGCGGAGAAACAGCGGCGAAACACACCTAAAAATCAAGAATGGACAAATAATTCAGGTCCAAAGGACATTTCTCTGGCCGAAGGCCGTCATTCTGACAGCCTAACCGACGCAAACGTGCCAACTCCTGAGGCTGCTCGAACCAGTGGCCGCTGTCTAGAAATCTACTACACTAATTGTCAGAGTCTTCTCAACAAGCTAGACGAACTCTGATTACTAGTTTCTGAACAGAAGCCACACATAATTGTCCTAACAGAGACATGGTTGACTGAGGAAATTAGTAGTAGCGAAGTCAGAATTGAAGGCTACCAACTGTTCCGTTGTGACAGATTTCACCGTAGAGGTGGAGGCACAGCTATTTATGTGTCAAATGAAATTGCGTGCTGTCAACGAGAAATATCCGATGGTGCGCCCCGAAATTTTGAAATAATTTCATGCAAGATATGCATCAAACAATTGCCGACACTGAACCTGTGTGTTGTCTATAGGCCTCCCAGCTCGAATGAAATCGCTGATATGGAATAACTTAGTGTACTGGAGTTGTTATGTAAGCAGGAGAACTTACTACTTCTGGGTGACTTCAACGCTCCAGGAATAGACTGGAACATTCCCCTAACAAACGCCCCGTCCACGTCATTTGACCACAAGCTACTACAACTCTCCCTGAATGAATACCTCATTCAGCACATAAAATTCGGAACAAGAATGAGAGAAGGACAACGATCTAACTGTTTAGATCTCGTTTTCAGTCAAGAAGAAGGACTCATAAGGGAAGTGAATCCAAAACCTCCACTCGGTTTAAGCGATCATATTGCTTTTACCTGCGTGTGCTCTCTCCTATCCAACCAACAACCAAAAATCAAGACGCGCAGAAATACTTGGAAGGGTGACTTTAACGCAATGAGACGCACTCTTTTGGAGGAAACCTGGTTGGTCAACACAGAAGATTCAGACG